AGCCGTCATTCCTCTTCTTTCTCTGTACCGATCCTGCTGTACCTAATTCAGTGGCCTGAATCTAAATTTAATTTTCAAAGTTGTAACGTTCACAGTCTCAAACGATCTTTAGCGTCTACGCTTATTACCAATCTTGTCCAAAGTCACTGGGAAACTTCATTGGGTTCAGTGTTGTCCTTTCAACAGTGTCAACAATATCGTTTTCCCATGGTAAACTATCTTCTGTCGAGAGTTTACCGACGGGAATGGGACGGCTGAATAGTGTCTGATTACTGAAAATCGTATGGCCGTGATCCCCTTTGTATTTCCAGTTACTACGAGAGTCTTTGAACGACTGTTTAAGTTGTTGGTAATACATTTAAAATTTGTATAACAATATATCTATCCGTTACGTAACACATAAATTACTGAATTCAGTATGGCATTATTTACATGGTAAATATTATATTTATAAAAAAAAAACCCACTTTTTCATGAGAATTTTTTTTATAGTAATTTCAAAATCTCTACCCTTCAACTTGCTGGGTTCAAACGGTTAACGAGTTTCTCTGGTTTGAAAAGGATATGTCGAGTGTTGCGCATGTTGACTTGCCGACGGATAGGGATGGTCGCGTACACTGTGTATCAGGGGGAGCAGAAAGAAATCGTTTCTGGCAGGATATTATTTTCCGCGTTTCTCCTCGCCAATTTCCCCTCGTCCTCACGCATGGTTAACTCTGTTTATATTCTCGTTTGTCGTTCGATTTGATGCGTCGCGACAAACACAAATTCCTTGACTTATCGGTATGTCGTTGTTTTTCTGCAATACCGGAATACAGCGTGTTTACGTAAGATCGATAAATCCCCAAGCAGTCTAGTTTAAAGTGAATTTTCCATTATTTCTCGGGGGAGCCTGGGAAAGCGTGAGACTGACACTCGTTGGATTGTCTGAGAAAAAAAAGTTGAACAAAACAGTCACCGAGAATATTGTAATGTATTTCGACTTGATATTTTTTGTATCGCTTATCAGTATGTTGGGAGTAGCGATATATTCACAGTACGTTGATAAGAACCGTTCGTTATATTGCAGCGTTAAATATTTTTCCTTGCGAAAGAAAATATTTGTCACCATTTTCGTAGAAGCCATTCTAGGGAATAAAAGTAACCAGGAAATATTCCTCAAAGCAAACGAAGATTAAAATAACGACCTTGGTGCTTTGGGAGTGGTATATTAGTACGGTGAATTCTATGGCGTCACTGGTTTCACTGCTGGAATTGGTAGGACCAGTTAGTTACCAGAAGTTAGCTATTAGCCGTCGACAGTAACTGAGGTCATCATCTCATGTTCTGGAAATCAAAAAATTCTGGAATTCCCTTCGCATCCCGCCTAGTCTTTTACTTCCTGATGGGTTTTTTTTTTAACAATAGTTCTAGTCATTTACCAAAAAATATGGCATCCAAAAAATAGATCCTAACTTCGCGTCAAACGGTGTAGTAGTCAACTGCTTCAGCAAATTGGAACATACCCAGAGAATATATGTAACGTATGTAAATATTACAATAGTATTTTTATCAATACAAAATTACATCATGTAGCCCTTAAGATGAGAATTTAATCAAGGGAATAACAAAAATTGAGATGAATGGGAATGGAAAATAATATTTACTTTTCAAAAATCCCGTCCTACGGCAGCACTTAACTTTTTCCCACGTTTTCCCGCTTCTCCATTTCTTTTCAAAAGATACATTTGAACCTACTAAGAAGGCTTCCGAGCTGATTCGCAACTAGGAACTTGGAAATACGTTCCATCTTCAATCAGAAGCGCGGTAAGATTGGTGCCGAGAAAAGAAAACATGGCGGATTTAGTACTGGCAAGTACCGCTAGTGGCAGCACTGGTAGGAGGTGCGAGAGACAAGGATTTCGACGTTAATCATTTGTGGCACGTACGTGGTGGGATTTAGCAAATAAATGAAATTATTACGCCGGAGCCGAGCCGTGTTGGAGTCCATGGGCGTCCGTAGGGATTCGTAGGTAGTGTGAAACGGCGTCGACGTTGGCGTCGGTATTAGTACTGGTAGCTGAGTTATATAGTGGAGCGTGATGAGTCTCTGCCAGGGGTTTCTGCTAGGTCGAAGATCCTTCGCGAACGTATTGGGATGGTGGAATACGAAGACCATGAGGTAAATAATTCCCGGCTACGGACGATTAAGTTTTTCCCCAGGATTGGTTATATTTCTTCCGACAGGAAGATCCGCTCCGAGATTCTCGACGAAGAGATCAACGGTTTCCGTCACGAGGTAAAGGGTGTATATGTGTATGATAGAAGCTTAGGTTAGGTTAAGTTACAATTTCGCTCTTCCTCAAGAGATAAGAATACCTTTTCTTGTATTTTCTTTTCTTCTTTCTTTCTTTCCTCTACCCGCGTACACGGTCCTGGGACCGATTTTCACCAGGCACGTTGTACGTACTTGATTTCATAATAGACGTCGAGAACCTTCCGACGTATCCTCCATAGCAATTCCGAGATGCCAAGCGTCGACGTCGATGACACTTCGCTTGCTGTATTAAGTGTCAACGACGGAAATGCCGCCAGGAACCTGATATCGAATATATTTACTAGAGATCTTCCGGCTGTCATGTATATATCTGTATGTCTGTATATATGTATATATAAAGTGGTAGATCAGAGACTAGTGACGGCAGACGCATATATAAATATATACAAGACCAGTTATATCATTGTACTATAATCCAATTCATAGATCCCTTCTAATAAAAAAAGTGTTGTTTATTTAATTAGGAGCATTAACCACAGTTACTTTAGGTCTACGAGCAACACAAACTGGCATACATATTTAATTCAATGAATTCTCACGTGATAGAACTGAAAGGATGGAAACGTGAAATTCACTGGATAAAAAAAAAAGAGTAGCTTCGCTCTGTCTAATTGCTCCAGAGCGTCGTCGGATTATCGTCGCGACGTCCCTCGTCGTATTTCACGACCATTTTCGCAAAATTTAATGACACGGAGTCGAACTTAAACTCACGTATGACGGCTGTTTCGTACATGGCGTTCTACTGACTTTTTAAATTATTTTTCGTGATTTATATCCATTGCGTATCTCGAGGGTGGAATGCCCATTGTGTCAAAGGGAATTCCTATAGGATATAAAGTTGAGGCATACCCTTCGTATGTGGGATGTATGGTCCGTGTTGAATTTTCGTCTTGGAAATTCAACGTCCCTAAATATTTGCCGAACATGAAGCGGCCGAAAATTCGGAATTGAAAAATCCGAGAGCAAAAATATCGTCGCAAAAGCCACTGTGTAAATAGTATTTCCTTGAGGTTAGAATTGAAAAAATTCCCTATATATATATACATACATAACTGACATATATAAGTACACGTGTATATCGCAGCGCTTGTCTAACCCGATGCCAGAAATCACTCTGATGGTTGATTCAGAGTAGCGCGCTTTGGTGAATTTAAATTTGCCGCAGTTGAAAAATCGAGGACGGATGTAAAATAAGGTAGAAGCGGCGCAAATGGGGTTGCTGTATACGCAAGTCTTCGTATGCTAAACAGGGTTAGAATTGCTACAATGGAGCTTAGTCGCCATTGTGACAAAATCTAGTTAATCCTGCGTATACTGGATTTTCTTACGGCATATAAAATAATATTGCCATCACGATGGATGACGGTTACACGATTATTATTTTTGAGAAAAAATTTTTGAATATACACCTCGCAAAATTTTTAATTGTACGATGACTCCGCGCAATAAGTTTTATTGTTGGAAAATATATCTGTGACGTCACGACGATACGTACGTGATACGAGCAACCAAACCGGAGGTTAGTTGCTGCCCCAAGCAACGCGCAGAGAAACTTGGACAATTTCCACTAAAGTTCGTCCAGCTATGTAACGGTGGTTGGCGGTGAAGTAACGTTACCGAAATTCGTGGCTACAGTGCGATTACCCAGTACGGAATGTCCAGTTGAATTGATTGATCAATCATCCGAATGATTCAAGTCATTAGTCAAAATTGTGATCACCATTGAAATATGCCATTGGAAAAGGTCGAATGTGGCTAGACTGAATTCGTGGGATTTGTACGAAGAAAATAATTGAGACGCAAGTGTGCCGAATGGATGGGCTGATGAAAGTAATGTCAATGCTACAGATCACGATTGAAATTTTGGAAAAAAAGTTCCCAGGAAACACCACCGGGTACGTATGGGTTTTAGCTGAAGCACAGCTAGGTTCTTCTAACAATTTCTCTCTCTGAATTCATGACGACAGTCGCACCAGAAACGCCAGCAGTTCCATTTCCGGTACCGCAAGGAACTCGCAGACATCGTACGTCAGGCTGGAGTCTATAAGAGATGCTGGTGCAAGTTGAATTGCACTGCTTGGTAGTGGATCCATCAGGTAAAGCATATATGTAACCATAAGACTACAGAGTGCAGGCGTATACAGAGAATCATGTAGAATTTCAGATGGCACATGCTGGGTGAACGTCAACGTCACCAAGATATTTCGACGATTCCACGCTAAATAAATCTTCGAGGTTCCTGGGGTAAATAAATAAATTTAATTCCAGACGACTCCTCGACTTTCTTTGTCTTACAGCTGGTCTTCTGGGACTGGATGCACTCGTTTTTCTGTATTGTCTACGTATGCTCACCCTTAGCCATGGTGCACCCTGGTCTTACTGACAACCCCATGGACAAACCCATTAAAATGAGAGCGCCTGGATATTGTACCTGGCTGGAGTCGCGTTGCTTATGAAAAGTTGATGTTATTGGACTTGGAAATTCAAGCTGGGGGTCTTCCTCGAGGCTTCGGAGCATTGTCGGCCCTGGGACAAAGTCCACGTAGGCAGCTGGCGAAGTGAATGCGAAGTGGAGTTCAAGTGGAAGAGAAGCAGCAGCGATACTAGTTGGACCCGGTTGTACATCTGAGTAGGAAACGGCCTATACTGCTAATGGTGTATAAACAAACGCTTGGCTACGTCATTTGCACAAAGCTTCACCAATTATTCATTTATGTGCGATCGCTCTGCAGTACAAAGCGACCGGATGAGGTGGGTGATCGACAAACGTTGAAATTTTAACGTAATTGTATGATAACGGTGCTGTGATATAATCAAACGACTGAGAGCGGATTTGAGGATTAATTAATTAATTCGTCTCCACTCCACCTACAAGGCCATTCGTAATTCATAATGACCAAGCGCTCTCATCCTGAAGATTCACTGATCCACTCATTATGACAAATTGGATGATTCATCTGTAAATAATAATCCGTATGTAATACAGGGGAACAGTATTGGAATTTTCGACCGAACACGTCGTATCTATAGAATTACAGATATTACCTTATTTCACATGACCCCTGTCTTAATGGACACCGAAACTTGCAGGTTGGGGTGATTCGCTAGATATTTCCTGCGCCATCAATGTGAATTATAAGGAAATTCGGAAATGCACTGCGAGAGATAGGATGGTCATATTTATGGTTTTGGGGCTATTGAATTGCGAATACGGGGAATGTAGTGAAGCCATCCGGGTCAAAGGTTGCCAATGTGCTCAGGACCCTAACAGAGATTATAAGGTGTGAGCGATTTATAATATCATCGAGTCTCGGCCGATTGAGTTTTATGCATGACCTGTTTACGGGATAGGTAAATATATATACTATAGGTATATGATACTATAGGTCAAGATAAAATATGAACATAATTCATCCGTGTCAAAGTGCATTTTTCATGTATCCGATGCACTTTGCGCTAGCTTAAAATCTGCATATCGATAAGGCAGTGCAATTTTCCTCTTTCAGCTATTGGAACATGAGAATTACTAAGAAAAACTAACAAAAAAGTAAACATCGCTGTTCCTGAACTCTCAATCGAAATTGTGAACTCGAGGTACGTACTTGCTTACCTATATCCAAAGAACCATTACGAACAAAGTCTCGTATACTCGTTCAGAAACTTTTTCCAAAGCGTTCTGCCCGCAGTGGCGCAAGTAACCAAACCAAACGCCACCGTCGAACATTCTTACACTAAGCAAACTGCAATCACAGCAGATTCTGAAAATGTCCACATAGAAGCCAGCACCCGTGCATTCCCGTGGTACCGTGTACTATGCAATTTCACCATAATACCGTGTGCATGCAGGTACAATTTTCCAGCACATTTGATATCGGTACATAATGTACGTATACAAAAACATCAAATAGACTTTTCCCACGTTAAATCTCTATTGACCTTTAATCTTCCTAATCGCTTATTTCAACTGCCAGACTTTGAATCAATCTAAATTTTTAATGCATCCTTGAGAATTCCATGCAATTTTTTTTACAGCTCTACCTTCCTTGCCGTTCGCATGGAATTTCAATGGAACGAGCAATTTCTTTGACTGGGTCTGGAATAGAGGTTATAGGTTATGTTAGGTATGTCTGTAAGGTAAGTATAGATCAATGGATAGATAAATTGACAGACATACTAGTAAGTATTCTCAGCCTACTGCTTTCGGAAGTGGCTATCGGATGAGATCGATGTCGAAGAGAAGCAGAGAGTGCCGAGGTGAAAGGTCGTATATTCGATACGTGATATCTATTACATGGTTATAGCTGCGCTTCGTTTATGGGGCCATACCTCACAGGGAATTGAGCTCCGAACGTTCACTGTGTCCGTCACAATGGACGGATTATAACGGCCACTGAACACTGACCGTGTTTCCTCCTTGTGTATGGATTATATAATTCAAGCCGGACCTTATCAATAAAATTACATCGATAGTTGTCACCTCGTGCGATGCATTGTTGTATTGTTGTGGAAAGATAAAAATGAAAAGTAATAAATATATATATGATCCTTACGTGATACCGCAAGTACAGATATACAGATATACTATAGGATGATGGATATTTTCTGTCATAAGAAAGAATTATAATTCGTTTCCCTAAAAAATCCTCTTTCTTATCATCGCTCCATTTAACCCTCCTTAAGAGCATTCCTTAGTTGGATAAGTTTTCGAAGAATTCGAAACGAGCCAATACATCCGGCAACACCCCTTGCATTCTTTGTTCCCTCGGAATTCCAATTTTCCTTTCTCGCCTCTCACGATCTCTGCCTCTAATATCCACTTCCTCGTGATTACCTAGAAATCATTAACGTTGTAAAAACTATTATCTCCCTCTCGCGGTATATCCAAAATGAGATATTACCCCAGCATCCGTTACCATCCTCGGTCTAATATAAATCGCAGATAAAATCAAGAAGCCAACGTCATGGCTACCCGCTGTAAAAAAAAGTAGGGAAACATTTTTTACGCTCCTTCCCAAAGGACACAAGCGGAAAAGTTTAGGCTCTGTGGAGCCTTGCAGTAACCAAAGACCGTGGACGTTGAGAAGAAGGAGCCCTCAGTCATCAGTGTTCGACATTGGTGATCGAATTAAGGACTTTTTGCCGTGCCTGATAAACCGGGTCTTCCGCTACTGAAGAAAAAAAAAAAAGAGTAAGTGGAGGGGGAAGAAGGACAGAAGAGTATAAGGTAAAAAAATGAATCGAGACTAGTAGGTCGTCAAATTAGGGTTTTTTTCCCTCCGTCAGGACTGTTTTCCCCAAGGATTTCACAAGGGGTGGGAGAGTCCAGGGTGCAACATGGACGTGGAGGTTATTAATAGGGCATCTGTCTAGTTCTGGCAAGCTTAGGGAAGTTAGGACGCGTTGGTATGGGCGCCTGTTGGCACGGTCAGAGTATTAAGACGTAATAGCGTATCCCTACCCTCCTAACCCTGGCAAAGGATCAACCCTCTCCGTGAGAGCAACCCGGCACCAGGAACGACACCAGGACTGGCTCCACCAGCAGCCATTCCGGTTGCGCTACTACCATCCGGCTAAATAAACTGCTCCATCTCCTGGACCGGATCCTCCCTCAATTCTCAAAGTTTCAGTACCTACAGCCCCTTGATAATGGATTACTGAAAAAGAAAGATTTACTGATATGAGAATTTTTTGCTCTTCTTTTTCATACTGACAATTGGAGTATGGTATTTTGATACTGTTCATTAGCCAGGCGTCTAATGCGGTCATGGCATTTACAGTGGATACGTCTTCATTCTATAAATAGTATAATAGGTTCGGTTAGGTCGAAAATGTTTCAGTAGAAAGAGTGATGCGAAATACCCAGAGACTATATGCAACGGTACGCTGGGTCATGTTTAATCCCAGACAGCTGACTAATTACTCGTACAGTGGTGTTAAGCCGTATCAGCCACCTACTGGGTAATACGGTGTGTACTGGTCGTGCTATTGCGGTCGGCATTTCTATAGTCTGGGTCCTCGAACGGGATAAATATTAAATATAATTTCGAAGCTAGTTGCCGGCAGGGCCTGATGAAAGATTCAGGCAATTTTTATTCTTTCGGTTTGTTCTGTCAACTTTCTCGATGAAGCTGTGCTTGTGTATATAGACATAAGGCACTGAAAAAAAGCTGTAAGGGATCAAAATTTCGATTGGATTAGAATTTGATTCATTTAATAGAGGGAGGGTCTTTATCAGTCAGTATTAAAAAAAAAGGTCAAGTGCAAAACGGACGTTTTCAGTAATTTCAATGGAAATCTTGAGATTTCTCGTGACACGTTTTTTGTTTTTCATTTTTCTCGAAATTTCAGTGTCTGTACTTTAACGTGATTTCACGCCGGATTAAATGCACTGTAGGTATTTCAATTCTTCTTCGCTCGAACAAAGTTAATCATACGGACCAATAAGAGAGACAAGGACAGTCGCTGTTTTATTGAAAGTGAAATAAAATGAGTACTAATGTAACGGCAATGCCGGTAGTTTACAAGAATCGCGTGAACGCGCCTGGTGAAGACTTTGCAGACGAAGTTCATTACGTGAGTTAACTCTTAATTCGTAGCAATGCCAAACCGTTGGGATTCTCATTTATTTTTAAATGAACGACAAGAACGCCGAGCGTCGCGACGTTTCGCTAACGGACATGAAAAGAATGAAGTGGAATCCACGGTTTTCTTTAAAATGAGAAGGGAAAAAAAACGAATTCCGTGTTACCGAGTGCCTCTGACTTTTCTTTATGTACTTTCCTCGGTGCCCTTTGACCTTCGACTCGTTACCCTCCAATTCGCCATTCTTGGATCCGGCAGCTCTTTACACGTAAATTTCTCATTTCACGTCACATCATCTGCCTGCAAAGTATAGAAACGCTATGGGAGTTTTTTTTCCTCGAGTATTATGTAAGGTTACCTCCATTTAAAGAAGAAAAAGAATCAATGATATCTCCCTCTCTGCTAAATCTTGTACCTACCCTGTTGAGGCTCAGCTTACAGAATTTGTTCCCTCAATATTACGCTCCTGCTTCCTATTATGAAATTCCCTCAGGAATGATTTGCCACCAGGACAAACTCGACGTGAGCAACAGCGTCGTGTTGTCCAAGGTGGTTTAATCGAAATAAATGGCCACCCGCAGCAAATACGTCAGGCAAAAAGATAAATTACTTTTTCACCAAACATTATTCTATATAGGGATTCATGTATCTACCGTTAGCCCTTTTTACGACTTTCATACAAGAATCATGCAATTCCCATTAAGATGGATTATCCATATTATCAAGATTACATCAACCTACGTTAATGCAAGTCTTCTTTTATTACGACATAGCGAAAGAGAACCCATATAAATTTAGTAAAAGCAAGAATAGATTTAACATAAACCACAAAAAGGTTATTGTTATTAAGTAAATATTCATTCTGAAATGCTGCAGGAAACACCTTGTTACATGTCTCTAAATATTTTACGAAAATCCCTAGCAAACGGTAGAGACTTTGCATTCACTGCAAAGCAAATGCCAAATACGATTGTTGTATCAGAGTAAATAGAACTCTGTATTCTCGTTATTCTATATACATACATACGACTCCAGTTAGTTCTGTATGACGCATAACGAATTTAACGTGCCCTTCTCTCCCTCGAACCATTTTACACGATTATCGATCATCGGCGGTGCGTGTATAAATGCATCATTTAAAATGACATCAATACAACACGTCACAAGAGATTCTAGCTGCATCAATGGGTTTTCCAATGGTAAATACAATATAATAAATTCGCGACACGGTTTCTAATCAGATGTAAATAAAGTAATTGAAACCCGCGATAATAATCATTTCACACTCTCCGCACCATATACCTACGTACGAACCAGAGCGTGTATAAAGTTTCCAGTGAAAAAAGGTTATGACGCGAGAAGGAAACGTCAAACCATCGGGCCATTGCGCATGCGCAGACCGAGCGCACCAACGTAATGCACTTAACTTTATCCCGTTATCTGCCTGTTTCTCACTAGCTAGTAACAATTCTCCGACTGTGCTGCCATCTGCACTAGATATCATCCGGCATACGCAACTATTCTATCTGTGTTTCATGAGAGATGCGTACCGATACGTATCGGTATGACGAACGGCATGTGCAAACGGGACTGATAGGAGCCCAGAGTGTGGGACGATGCATCAGTGCAAGTTGGATTGTACCATTGGACAGAGAGATAGAGAGAGGGTGAGACAGATGAGAGATATGGCGGCGTGCGAAAAGGGATGAAGGCGTGGGAGAATGAAAGGCTGCATCCAGCCAATCTCCGCTACCGCTTTGAAGCTGTATTCAGCCTGTGCAATGTTCCACTTGTACCGCATGCTTTACCTGAGGTCATGGAACAAGTTGACTGCTTGTAATATCTGGCATTTGATCAAGGATTGGGACGGTGTGGATTGTCCTTTGGGGTAATTAAAAATAATATTCTAATTAACATTCGAGTCTTGGTAAATAAGGTATGACTTATCTAACCTCTTTAACCGAGCGTAGTATAACAATTGAATTATTTTAACACGACTTCCTTTGCAGATTAACTGCATCGTGGTTCGGAGGTCATTAAACAGTGTCTAGAACGTTATAATTTTATGGATCCTATAGGACATGGCGTGAGTATTAAGTTTTTGTAGGTTGACTTATTTTATTATGATTTTTGACATTATCCTATGAAAAATGCGTGTCTCTCTATTGTACTGCATTGTGAGTAACCGTAGGTATGACGTATGGTGGTGTAATACTGTTCATTGGGCCGAGTAAGATTCTACGGGCTATTCTAGTCCCATAGGATCACATACCTTCTGCTTATGAGTCTTACTGTATGGTATGACTGTCCTTTAGAAACGTAGAAAAGTATTCTGCACCTCCATGAATCTATGGGGTGTCCCCATGAGAGCGGCACAATTTCACGAGCATACGCGGACACCATATTTCTCAAGGTGTATTCACCTAGAACCATGGAACGGGAAAACGGGAGTTCTCCAAATAAAAAAGTGGCCTATCCGTAACTCCCCGAAGGAAATGGTGATAAACTGCCGGAAAATAATGCGTGTCGCGGAAAAATGAAGAAAAATTGCAAGAGTGTCTCTTCGGGCTGGCATAAGAAAGAAAAACCTCGCGCTCTCTCTGACTCGTATCAGTGGTCCACCGCTACTATTATTTTTCGTTCTTTGTTATAATCCTATGTAACCAAAAAAAATCGTCCCCCTCCTTTAGTCCCTAAGTATCGGTCGACAGTATCTTAGCATAATAGACAATTATTTTTATTTTTCAAATAACTCAATTTTTTTCCTCAACTACATTGTACCACACAAAAGAGAAAATATTCTGCATTCCATTTTCTGTGTATCGAAATGAAATTACGATTGTTTTCGGCGTACGGAAAACTGTCTCTTGTATCCAAAAGGGGATCCCTACTTTATGAGACTTGGATACTTCGACCATCCAGAATACTACCCTCTTGTCCATTCCCAAGCGATTCATTCGTACCTATATACGTATATAGAAAGGTAGATAAGTTGGTAGGAATCCGCCATTTTGGGGACATCATCCGCATTTCTTTTTCAAAGAATTCTATCGCTGGCTCCTCTTGCGGCTTGGACACACGTCCACTTTCTAAAACTTTACGTCCTCCAGCTTCCGGATACTCTTGTCGAAGAAGTTATCATGAAATTGACACGAAAAATGGCATACGGACCATTTTCAATCATTTTTCGGAACTCGCCATTTTCAAGATACACAATAAATATTCAGGAGCGATTTTACAATTTTTATGAACGCAGCCTAATCTACATAGAACAAATTATACACATACACGATAGGGGTGGTATACTAGCAAAAAAAGGGATGTAAAAAATAAACTCGATCATCCCTATCGGTAAACCTTTTTTTTTCTAATAGATATTTTATTGGATTTATTATCGCGAAGATAGCACGAACGTTTCGCAAAAAATCGTTCATTCCAATTCCTGCCAATTCGTTCGCCACGTATTCGCAAATGGTTACGGCAACACAAGGGTTGAAAATAAATTTTCCGCGTTATAAGGATTGCGAATCGGTAGCGAGGGCTTTAACAGTGAAATCAGCTGTTCGTTGGGAAATTTCATAAGTGGTTCTCAAGGATAAACGTGACCCCAACAACTATAACCCCCAAATGTCATCATCCCTTATACGTACGTATAATACATATATATGAACGCGTACACAAGCATGTAGAAGTCTATCGCGAAACCAGCATCCCCTATTTATTTCACGTATGTACTTATCTCTTAATCCAACCGAGGAATTTTTCATCCACCTTCACAACCCTTGCAGCCACAGAGGCCGTTCTCCATTGTTGGCTCGGAGATATGAAATTTATCAACGTAAACGGAACGGATGCGCAGCCCAATTCCTGGGAGGACGGCGGAAGGTATTCGAAAAAAACAGATACAACAACAAAAAAATGGAGCAAGGAAAAGTAACGACAAGAACAAAAAATTAGCGGAAAATAGAAGGAGAAGAAAAATTACCGCTATCCTTCCTTCGGAGCTTTTTTTTTCTTTTTATACATAAAAATCGTCTCATGACATTTTTCGGTTTTGTTTAACCGAAATTATCTTATACTTAGAGTTCCAACCCTCTAATATCGGTCAGGCATTTTATTATATGACATTTAATCGACTGTGTCGTACAGTGCTACCAATTGTAATAGCTATGACGACGACTATTGTTCATTGTGACTTTAATGTAGCTGTAATGCACACGCAGGCTTAAGTTTCTACATTTCATTACGTTCCGGCGTTCATTTTACGTAAACGCGTTTAAGTGCGCGTCGAAAGCGCATCTCAGCGGTCGCATTGGATATTGTCGTTATTTGTAAACGGACGAAGGAACGTTTGCGGACGATATCCGAAAATTGCGTGTTACTGGATATTATTTGTATATAGTAAATATTCTGGGCATTTTTCATTAAATTATATGTTCAGATCTTATAATCTTTTCTTGTAGGGACTATGTATAGCCTTTTAAGAGCGTTCCTCGATAAAAATTATATTTTTGTATTCCGAAAAGTTTTATCCAAATTTTTTAACCTTTTCATTCTCGAAATGCATATCTTGGTGAGAATTAATTTTTTTCACTATATATTAGGTGGTGTTAGATTTTGAGGTACGTCCAGGTCGTGGCACAGCCCGACCACGCCTCCGCCGGGTCGGAACAGCACTCACGAGCCATCGAGCTTGCAGCTCGCTGCAGCTTGGATGCTGCAAGCTCTGATCCGACCTGACGCCCTGGCACTTTGGTTGACCCGAGTGCGCTTTAATCGCCTTAATTGGCACAGATTTCGATGATCGAGACGCGCGGTCATGATCATTTCACGAGTACCGAATTTTTCCCAAATATATAATCCAAGAAATGTAGGTGGCAGTGAAATTTTGAAAAGTTTCAGGAAAAAGTATGATTTTCATTTTACGTCGGACCAAAGATCAAACTTTTGCTTCGCGAATAAAATATTTGACACGCACAAATTTTTGATTCTTTTCTTACCGAAGTATATTGAAAATATAATGGTGGGTAAAATTTCAAAATTGCATACCTTTTTCATACTTCTTATCGTACGTTCAATTTTCTATTTTATACCGTCCCATATTGTATATATACAATATATAAGCGAGTAACAGATCCCGCCAAAAACTTTTTTGCGTAGACATAGAAAACAATGTAATATTTAAAAATAATTAAAACTCACCCTTTGCAGATAGGGGTTGCGAGCACGGAAGCGCAGCAAGAAGAAAGCTCAAGACGACAACAACAAATGCCGATCGTCCGCGTCTGCAATTGATGGCCGTGGTCCCGTAATTGCGTGACTCGTCAGAACAATAACAACAACCATCGTGAACGTCACCATTCTCCAGTTCACCAGCACCCCTAACACCATTGTCATCACCCCGATTATCAGAGTCCTCCGACACGGCGGAGCAAGAGAAGAAAACTCTCCGAGACAGATTCATCTCGCGGATCACCATAGGCGTTTTACTTATAAAACCTTATATATAGTTTGCATTATATCGCGTGTTACCAATGTGGGCGGGTCCCTTGAAACAGTAGTATAAGAACCGCGAGACGAGATAAGGGCTGCACCGTGCATACAGCATCCCCCAATACGTGCGGCCGCGTCGAGACGCCCGGCAATACTGACTCGGGGCAGGCAAAGGAGGATCCGACCGGTCGGGGGTTCCCGGCAGGATCTCCCCACCCTCCTCCTACGCCAAAACCACCCGCGCTGTCTAGAGGAGTGGGTGAGTGCGAAAGGGGTGGGAGGTGCGAGAGGGTCATTGCTCGTCAGGTCGTGGTCGTCGTCAGGTCTTGTGTTGCTTGAGAATCGCCCGAAAATCCAAGCCATCTAAATATCCCATATAAATCTCATACATGGTCCAGATCTTGAGATGCTGGGAAATCGAGATTTTTTTACGAGAAAGGATAGTTTCCACGTGCGCGAATATACTTAGTAGATACTTTGTCGCACGTCCAAAGTGTCAAGGACGAATTTCGATTTTTTTGTTTAATTCAAAATATTTCCATGACGTAACCACGTTTGACACAGAGCTCTGTAACTTTTAGCTACCTGTCTTTTAACCGAGCTACCGGATGCGGAACGCATGCGGCCAAATGTAAACCCACCGACACGGGCGTTGGCCGTTGAAAACGCGCCGACGCCGAAGTTCCCGCTGTAACGTGCTTTAACGTCGCACGATGTGTTGTCGCCTTTACGTTAATGACGCCGATGTGTTTTAAATGGCTGAACGTAAGCGAAGTTCGCATGACCGAAGGCTTGTATTTTAATCAGTAGAATTTTGATTGATTAGACTGCGTGGCTACGTTTAACGCTTGTACCTTTGATTGAACTTTTTATATATTTTTACCGTATGACTGATAGTTTTATAAAATTAATTAGAAAATATATATTTTATATGTTATTCTAAGTGCCTTGTATCGTACGCCTTTGCGTTATTCATTGTAAGTGGATATACCGTGCACTACGTGGATGCATCTTTGTATTGCACTTTATAGATGCATCTTATCCAAGCCACTTTAGTATTTTAATACAATGAGATGCAGCGACTATCTCTTGCGCACATTCTGTCTTAATATAACTCATTGCTGCTGTAAGCAGCTTTGGCTTACTTATAGGCTAATGAGAATACGTGTCCTTATTGTTGTTCTTGTTATCATTATCATTAATCATAATACAATAGTAACTGGGATTACAGGGTTATTCAGTTCGGAGGCACTTTTGGAAATTTGACGTGTCACTGAAATCAAATGAACAGGCTAGCCTGAATAACCCTGTATTAAACTGTATATTTTAAATTCCACATATGTACGTATAATAATGCTCACTAGATATCGTTGGTCATGGAGAATCTTTTTTTGTGAAATTAATTATTTTGGCCATTTTTAATTCTACCAACTTATTGGTACCTCGGTCTTATGAATATTGTCGATATATGAAAACCGGAAGTAATTAAACGGTAAACCCCCTCTCTAGTATCTCGTCATTCTTGTACAGCTACGAACGTTGGGACGTTCCGAAGAAGTTTGACGACGATGCCTATACCCGATGGAAATTGACTTTATGAAATCTCGACAGGCGACGCGAACATCGGCGCCATCGTTCTTCCCCCCTGCCCTTCCTCTTTCATTTTTATACTTCCGGCAAACGAGACACTCCCGAAGTTCTTCGGTTTCACCAAGCGATTACTCGATTACCGGTCTGTCACCGGAAGCGGGAGAGTGATTTTCGCGCGCACCAAACTATCGGTAGAAAGTTTCACTGTAAAGAAAAGGAACTTCCGTTTTTCATGCCGAAAACGATTCCGAGAGAATGAATGGCCGAGATGTAAAGTGGGGCGAAGGGCGACAAATTGAAAATTCGTTTCGAATGCAGACAAGCGAGTAAGTCGATTTCGACGTTGAAATTTAAAAAAAAATGTTTGATCAAATTTCACCCTTTTTCTTTTTTACCCGTGGAATATCCCTTTCTCGGTCTTCCGATTTCAATGGAAATAATAATATATTTATCCGACAAGCGAAAGGTAATGGTAATTACTAGTGTTACTCGGATGGACAATTCGCGAAGGGTGGACCCGGTCGAAATTGAGAATTTCGAATCCACGAGGGGTAGGCTCCTAGAGATTTTGCGAATAGGGGATGACAGGAGACCCAAAGAGAACAAACCCCATAGGTGTTCCTCGTGTACCGAAAAGGGAATTTAGTATGGGGCTCTGAGAAGGATGCGAGCCAGCCAAGAGCATCGCTAAAACCTGGTGTGTGTTTTAGAGGTTAGGGTTTGAGGTTTAAGTTAGGGCGGCAGGTTGGGAGGTGGTATAGAGTGAAGATATACTTGCGCATGCGCAATCCTAGCAGCTCCTCGTGATACCACTTCTAACCCCTTACACTCAACCCCACGATCCTCCCCCCCCAGCTCCTACCAAACTGGGTGATCCGCGTGACACTAGCCGCTTCTCCTGGGTGTTGAACGAAGAGGGAGCCAGGTGGGCGAGGCTACCGGTGGCGTATTTACAAATTCTGTTACCATCTCATTCTCAAGTTTCATTCGGATACTGAACTTTCTTTTTCACCTGAATATTTTTCAAAATTCTCTTTCAACGTTTTTACTCGTTTCAGTGCAACGATGCTAATGACTTTTTGAATTACCATCATTTGCCAGCTGTTGATATGGCTTAATTTCCTTTTTTTTTTCCCTTTCTGTCATCCCTCGTGAATTTGACACCAGTTTTGTTTCCCTTGCTCCTTTATTTTTCTCATTCTCCTGACAGGATCGATTGATCATGCCGCTTATGGAGTCCCAAATGTTTCCCATCAATCAGTGCACGAAGTCCATCATCCAGCTCTGAATTACCTATAGGAGCGTATGGGTACGTTTTGATCAGGTTATTGTTGGATGGAGAATGGTGGGTCATCATTTAGCATTCGATTCATTCGAAACCCAGTGGTTCGTATTTTCTATCATTTTTTATCTCGATAAACGTATGAAAAACCGATACAGTCCACCGAGACTGCAAGAATTTCAGTTACGATCGAAGACTATGTAAAATCCGATTATCTTGGCTACCGTTCCTCTTTTCTTTTTTTTTTTTTTTCGAGGAAGGAAACATTCTTCTTTTTTCTTTCAGAATTTACCACAAATACTGGGAAATTCCCAATAACTCGTAGCTGGTGAAAAGCATCGCGAATCGAGCAATTCCTCTGTAATATATACGTATGTATGTTCACACATATGCTCTGGATTATTTACGGGGCATGGGGGCAAGAGAGAAAAATATATATACACATACATACATATATACAATAAAAAGAGAAAAAATATCGCGATAGGATGGGAAGTAGCAAAGAGGGGTTGCCGTATGATTTACGCGACAATAACAAAAAATGAATGCCCGGAAAATTCGTGCAGGAGTTCCGTGCAGGTAAGCGTCGTTGATACAGATATGATACGAACACATAGATTTCTAAAAAAAAAAGGTAAAAAAAACAAGGAAGATGAAAATTCAAAAAAAGCGTAATTCATCCACGCTCCAAAGCACAGACAGGAACATATCCAAAAACAAAGGGTCATAAAAGCCTATAAAAAAAAAATGAGATCCCAACTCCACCTTTATTTGAGTCCTAAAAAAAAAAGGAGAAAAGATAACAGTCGAACCTTTTATCAAAAATAATATGGTACATTTTTTTTTTAATACCTTCATACAAGTTTGGATTGCCCTGGAATAATATTTTTGCACTCTTTTTTTTTTTTTTTTTTTTTTTT